TATTCAATCTAATAACATGTAAATGATTAATAGAAATTAATGGAGGTGAAATGGAAGCAGAAAGTTAATAGAAAAAGGAAGCAAATATTAGTTTACATGGAATATTGAAGTATTACCAATATCAGAAAAATATAACTATTTATCAAAAATATTAGTAGATGAACCAATTTTAAAATGAACATTATTAATTTATCCATTTTAAAAGGCAAGAAATGCAATAACAAATTCTTTTAATAGTAGAGTAAAAGTTGATTTATTTGATACATTTGATCAAGGAATTGAAGTAGCAGAATCTTATAAAGAAATATATTATCAAGCACTTTATAGTACAGTATTTATCGATATTTATGAAAATAATGTGGACGATATTATAAAAGCTATATCAAGGCTAAGAGAAATAAATGGGGATAACATATTAATTGTTTTCATAGTATTTTCAAGCAGTAATGGAAGGTCTTTGGTAAAAACATTAATTAAAACAATTGGAGGATGTATTACCACTATTTTTAAGCCACTTACACCAAAAAAATTAATCAATTTCTGTTAAAAAATAATCTAGATAATTTATTGAATAAAATGTAATAAATAAAAAGTTGTGTTAATTTATCTGGTAATAATTTTAAAGTTTATATTTAGACACAATACTATTATTTATAGCACCGTTATCTAGTATATCCAAAAAAAAACATCTCTCATAGTAATTACAAATGAGATTTAAGAATAAAAAAATTAGTAAGAATACATTTAGTTGTTAAACATGCAATATTATATATAAAGCAAACTGCAATTTGCTATAATTTATGATACTTAATACAAATTCACATAAACTCTGTAATTACATAGATTAATCTATTACTGTAGTACTTTATATTGATATTGGTCATCTTCATTATTATATTGTATCAAATATGTAATTTGATTATAATCAAATACCTGGACTTGATTATCATTTAAAAAATTTTTAGAACTTAAATTGCTGTATTTATTCAAGTAATAATATTTGATTATTTTGAAAAAGCATCGAATCTGTTGTAGAGTATTGAAAAGGTATTAAATTTGTTGTGGTGTACTGAAAAGGCATTAAATCCATTGTGGAATATTGAGAAGGCACTAATTCCATTGCAGAACATTGATCATCTTTAGTGAGTGAAATATTATCATTATAATAAATATTTTCAAAATTAAGTTTGTCATATTGACAATAATAAAAGTCTTGATCATTTGAATCTTGATCATTCAAAATAGAAATTAAATTCATTTTTGTGCTATCAAATAATTCAGATTTATGATTTAATATACTAAAATAAAAATAATATTGAATATTTTCAAATATAATACTGTAAATATTCTTTGATTCCATACCTCTTTTCATTCATAATGTCAAGTGATGTTTCTTTAGTGATATATTCTATTAGAATTTAGCATAAAATTTATGTTTAGATTTATCTTATAATTTTCATTCGTTAATGTTATTAAGGCAAATTGAAGCTGATTTCAGGCATTCGTGCCTTGGCAGTAACAAAAAAATAAATTATCAATCAAAGTAAAGAAATATTAATTATCATATATTTCTGAAGATATCTTATATTCAATTTAAAATTTGCTTTTCTGACCATGAATTTAATATATAATATTAAATTAAACCAACTTCAACTGTCCAGTATAAGAAATAAATTTATACATACTGTTTTTATCTTTCATATTTTCATGAATATTGTTAAGTGATTAACTTTCATTGTTTAAAAGTTTTTCAGAGTTCAGACTATCATATTGATATGAACAAAAAGCTTGATCTTTTTTTAAACGTTGGCTAATTTTAGATGATTCAAAATCTGGCATATGACTAAAAAATATATTAATATTAAAACATTTTTAATACTAACCAAAAATAATGTATATTTAATAGATACCTTTCATTCATTATATCAAATAAATTTTCTTTAGTAATGTAATCTATCGAACGCAATTAATAATTAATAATTAATAAGATAGCGATAATTTAATACAAAATATATTTTTTAGCTGTAACTGGCAAACAATTTAATTGAGTATAATGTAGTGTTAATGCTGTTTTTATAAGGGAACTTAATGACTGGCTTGTAAATACAGCATCTGGATGGACTGCAATTTTTGTGACTTTAATTTCAGGAAGTTCTTCGGTTTTGCCATAACGAGTCATCTCTTCAAGAGTTTCTGCAACCATATCTGCAGATGGTCTTTTTGATAGATCAGTTTCCCAACATTTCATTATCAAATCAATATATGATTTTGGTGTGCCATTAATGACTGGTAGGCAAATACTATCACAAATATCATTGATAAGATGCACATCATGACTACAATCAGAAAATAGTCTTTGACCACTTGTAATTTCCTACATAATCATCCCCAAACTATATACATCTGATGCTGTGGTGAATTTTCCACCTCTTAATACTTCTGGTGCAATATATAGAATGATACAATAAACTTCATTATCTGCTGATTCATTTGCTGGGCGGCTTATTCCAAAATCATTAATGTTTACAGCCACATCAGCACCCTTAAGATTCTTTTTAAATTTGTGAATAAGTATATTACCACTGTGAAAGTCCCTATGAATAATTTGCTGTTTATGGATTTTCAAGAGTTGTACTGCAACGTCTCGCAGAATAATTAATTTACTAGCAGAATTCAACCTATTGTAATTCAATAGAAATTGATGTAAATTTCTATCTCGTACAAAATTGATAACAAGCATAATTCTCTTGTTTGTGGATCTTGGGTAACGCTAAAAAAATTGGTAACTCTAGAATAATCTCTATTTAAATCATCAATATTCATTATAAGATTATTTTTTGCCCTCCAATGAATTTAATATAAATTTCTAACTAATAAGCCAGAAGCAGAATCAATCTTTATGCTAGAAGATGTAGTATTATAATAGTTTTATCATAGATATCATTAAATGTCACAGGTTAGGCAATATTGCATTGCAGTTGCAATATCAAGGCAGATTTGGGATGTTTAATGATATCGATGATTAATACGTGTAATAACTGATTCATTAATGTATCCTATCTGAATAAACACTCTGTAAGCAATGATTTATCGCAATGAATGATAAATAAAATAGATTAGTTGTGATAAAAGATTTTGAGCTCACATGAATTATTATTCAATAAAAATATAAAATCAGGTGTGAAAGTTTGTAAAAAAAAAAAAAAAAAAACGAAAACACAAATAAATAATTATTTTTGTGCAAATATTAGAGCTAAATGCTTATTTGTGTTAAATATATATTTTGTCATTAAAACATGAAGATCTGTTTCATCGCTAGGAAAAATTTAAGTTATAGGCCATTTTTCTAAAAAAACATTTTATGTTAAACATATGACTTTGACATGTTCTGCAATGACTAACCTACAGTATTTCAATAAATGATTCTTTTAATGTGAATTCATAAGAAAAAATATACTGTATAAAATCGAAATATTGCTTGTGGGCATTATTTTGAAAATCAGAACCTTCAAAAATAGCATATGTAGTTTCAAATTAACACCCATATGCGTCCAAATTAGCGCACATCCCTTTATAAAAAAATAAAAAATAAAAAGTGTTCTGGAACTGGATTTGATACTAAGTAAACCTCTAACAAAAGTTGTTCTTCAGATTGAGTCAATTATAATGGTGGTTTATTTAGTACAAACCCAGTTCATGAGCACCTTTTATTTCTTACTATACTTATTATAATTAAGGAGCATTTATAGGTTTATGTGGGTGCTCATTCATGATAGAATACAGTAATTTAATAGTTACATTATGAACTTCCAAATTCATCTATTTTGAAACTCAAAATTAAAGTTAATTACTAAATTCAAAGAATAAACAATAAAGCTAATTATACGAATATCACATAACTACCTTTAATTACAGGCTTTTCAGAATAAATAAATCAAAGATTCTTTTCTATTGATAAGCACTATATAATGCAGTACTTACCTCATTTAAAAAGCTGCGATCAATATTTTCTAAATTATTAAGCCTTTTAAGAACAATTTCACGTTCACATCGTATAAAACATCTACTTTTAGCGTATCATCCAGTAATTTGTTCATCTTTCCATATAGCTTTATATATTTTACTAAATCCACCTTCGGCAAGATATTCGATGTTGGTGAACTGCTCAAATGGAATATATGTTATTCTATTCCTGACTTTTAAAGCAAGCGATTTCTTAATAAGATTGTCGACCAATTTGTTGCCACTTAGTACTTGACTATGATTTGACTTAAAATCTATTTGTATAAATTGTTGTGCTAATATTTCAATCAGTCAGAACTATATTATAAACCTTACCATGTTTTCTTTTATCAATAGCTTTATTTAAATCAAAATCCCCAAATCGAATAATTAAGTGTAACTAAAAAGATTCTGCAAGGAATTTTTCAGAATATTAAATTTCTGCATCGGAAAAATAGCATTTACTAATTTTTCCCCACAGCTGTGATATTGGCCAATCAGGATGCAAGATCAGGTGTAACATGACGATCAAAACAACAATCACTTTTTTTAGAAAAGTCACACTTATCACAAAACTTCCTTAAGAAATCACCTTTTATGCAATAACAAAAAAAATTCCTTGCAAAATTTTAGTATAATACCACCTACTAACCCTAACCCCAAACCCTAACTAAGGTGTCACATTTTATTTAGAAAGTGACATGTAAATTTGCACGAATAATCCCAGCCAATTACAACTGTAAAGGGAAATTAGTAAATGCATACCAATTACGGTCTGGTTCTACAAATTGATTTACCGTAAATAAAATTGTCGTTTACTAATTTCTCTGGCCAATTATCAGATATAACGTGAAAATTAAAACAACTTTTTCGAATAGTCACATTTATTTCAAAATTTCGCCTAAGAAATCACCTTTTAGATACTAAAAAAAAATTCCTTGCAAAATTTTAGTATAATGTTGCTCGTTAACACTAACCCCAAACCCTAATTTAGATTTCACATTTTAATTAGAAGGTGACATGTAAACTGGTGCGAATAATCCTAGCCAATAAAACTTGGAGAAATTAGTAAATGCATTGCTGGACCGAAATATAACAACTCACTACAAACACTAATACTAACTAAACTATCCAAATTAGAATACTATTACTATAATAACTAAACCCTAATAATGGTAAGGCTTAGATCGAGGCGTGGAAAAACTTGGTCTGAATAATCAGTGTTATTTTGGGTTTATAGCGATAGTGTTGGATTCAGATAAGTGTCCTTTTGCTTTCGTTTGGTGATTTAGTCACTTTGCTTATTACTTTACTAATACTTTACTTCTTTCGTTAGCGGTTACTGCGGCTAGGTCTCGTGCTCGAAGTTGGCTTTAGTATTGAGCAAACACCTATAAGAAATACAGTACTAAAAGTAATAAGGCTACTTATCCAAGCCCCAGTGATAAGCCCACAAGACCCAAAAGCTTCAAACTCGAACCAAGACTCTTTACGCCCCAATCAAAGCCTACCAATTCAAAGTTTTGTCTTGTTAGACCATAATTCAATTGATTATAGCCCCTATGAACTATATTTGAAGTCCAATTTTTTAATTAGCTAGTATACACTTTTATAACATACAATATATATTGATTTTCAATTATAGTCTACTTAACAAACATCTAATAGTATTTTTAAATATACTTGACTAAATAATGTCTTAACAATTTTAAATATACTTGACCTAACAATGTCATTATCCAATGAATAACAATTTTTAAATGCATCCAACCTAATAATGTCTTCGCCTAGCAAATAACAAATTTTAAATACATCTGATTAATAACATCTCTCAGCAAATAACAATTTAAATATATTCAACTTAATACCTTTATCAGTCAATAATATTTTTTTTGCATTTAAAAATATTTGTATTGGGGAAATGATAGTGTCAGAATAGGGATATGTTGGGGAAATAATAGTGTCAGGAAAGTCATGAACCTAGTATACCTCTAAAAAAAAATTACATAACTGGGTTTAAATTTTTTATATTTTTTATATTTTTTTATTTTTATACTTTTTATTCTTTATATTTTTTTATTTTTATTTTTTTATTTTTTTTTAAAGAGTTAGGCCTGGTATCGGTCTTTATTGAATAAATTATGTGTTACACTGTTTAAAATGAATTGCATAAGTTATTACAGGGACCTACAGCTAGGACTAGTTTATCCTCGGCCCAAAACTCTACTAGAGTGGTTAACAGGCCTACACTAGGCTTAGTATTGCTATGTAAGGCGTAGATATGTTAGTAAGGGGAAATATGCTTGATAATGTATTATTAAAAAAAAAAGGTGTAAAATTAAAAAATAAGAATAAAAATTAATAACCAAATAAATAAATAAATAAAAATAAAAAAACAAGGACAGAAAAACTTATTTAAACCTGGAACAATCTTCACTAACCCAAAATACCCAAAAACATTAGTTAAAATTTGATATATAGTTGCATTATCGTACACAACGGTAAGCAATTGGATACCAATACCAAGTACGATTAGGATCTTGAAGATAAATTATTCTTTTGTCATGTATTGGATAAAGACACAGTTATTTTCTAATAAGGCCATGCAAAGTTAATTTTTCGTTTTGTATAACCCGCTGACCCAAATTTTATAAAAATCAATTTTTTTTTTTTTTTTT